TTGTTATTTTTTTCTACTTTAACTGTTGATAGTATTAAAGATAATTATTGTATTGACTTTTCAAAGAACAATTTTTAAAGCTTTATATTATTAGTACAGAAGTAAATGAAACCTCAGGCTTCCTTTCAGACATGTTTTTCTGTTCCAATAAGATATATTTTATGATTAAATAAGATGAGGCCATTCCTGGAACATTTAGGGATCTATGTGCACTGTGTTGGGAAATCACTGACAAACTTTTTGGTTTCTTTGTACAATACTTTTCTCTGATATATAGTTTTAAATTACCTATAATCTACAGTTGAAACAAAATGTTTTCCCAATGTCTCTTCTGTATGAAATAAGTTTTCTTTACTTTTTTATAAAAATTGATGATAAATCTTAAAACATGGATCCACAAGTACATGTTTTATGCTGAATATCTGAATCTGTTGTACCGTAACCCATATCCTCATTGATACTTCAAGATAAAAAAAAATAATATTTAGAGTTTGGCTTAAATAAATGTTAAATTTGAAAAGAATGTCAGGAACTATAAAATGGACACAAATTTTTATTATAGGTATATAGAAAAATATGCTCAGATTATACATTTACTATAACTGAAATAAAAAAAGCCAACAAAATAATTACTTAGATATTAGTAGATTTAAGTCATACAAAGAGATAATTTGGATAAACTACATTGATTACTTGTTTTTAACTTTAACTTTTAATTGTGATTTGGCTGAAGGTTTAAAGCAATTTGGTTTTCTATTCAACAATTTATACATGTTCAGTTTCGTGGCATACATTGCAAGGTTTTTTTTTTTTACTTTTTATAAGTGGTACTAGGACTTCATATACAAAACAGATTTATCTTTTTGAATAAATGCATCCAAAATAAATCTGGGCTTTAAATTGTCTAATATGCTAATGTGCCACTTGTTAATTATCATGGAAAATTGCTGTTCCTGGGTGACAAAAATGGTTAAGCACTTGATGACTAGCGAAAGGTTGACAATTCAAACCCATCCAGAGATGCTTTGTAGGAGAGACCTGCTGATCTGCTTCCAAAAGATCACAGCCTTGAAATCTCCACAGAGCAGTTTCCACGCTACACCCATGGGATCACCATGAGTCTGAATTGACTCCTTGGCTACTAACAGCAACACTGCTATTTATCAAGTTCTTTAAGTCTGATACTAGCACTAATAATGTAATTGATAGTTAAAACAGGTTGGTGAAAAGAACAGATATATGTTTGGGGGCAGGGAGGATTAGTTCCACTATAGAATTTGAGGGAAGAGAAATGATTAGAGATAGAAGATGAGTTTAAACATGTAGGAAATAACATGGGAGAAAGATAAGGCAGTCTGCTTCCAGAAAGATTTACAGCCCTGAAACCCTATGGAACATTCTGCCCTATCCTATAGGGGCTCTATGACTTGGAAATTGACTAGACATCAGTGGGTTTGGTTTGGTTTTATAAAAGACAATAGTACCAAGAAAGGAGAATTTAGAATGAATTTGAATCACATTTAGTGTTACATTTAGAGGATTTGTGTCATATTTAAGGAACTCTGGTAGCGTAATGGTTACGAATTGGGCTGCTAATCTCATAGTCAGCAGTTTGAAACTACCAGCTGTTCTGCCAGAGAAAGATGAGGGTTTCTGCTCCCTTAAAGATTTACAGTCTTGGAAACCCTGTACAGGGTCACTGTGAGTCAGAACTGATTCCACAGCACATAACAACAACCTTCTTTAACATCTACTATGATACATACTACATAGTTGTTGTTGAAGGTATTTAGTTATACTTTTTAAACTAAAATAGAATTGAAATAGATGTGGGATAAAGAAAAAAAAGTAGTTGAAGATGACTGAGTTTTCTGTTTTGGATAAAGGTATATATAAATGTTACTAGCTGAGAAAGGGAGTGATGGAGGAGTTCTGGATTGGAAAGAAAGATGAAGAGAATGATTTTGACATAATCAAGGTGAGGTATCTGAAGAAATACTATACCTACTTGGCATTTAGGAAAAAATAGCTCAGAAACATTATTGCCTGGAAATTAGTGCTTGAAGAATCATGAATACAAGTGGCTGTTTATAAAACTGTGAAAGA